GACCATTAACACCTTTTTAGGTTCTTGAGGGCACACGTCATGGAGCACAGTAAGATGTTGTTGCTTACATAATTTACAGGGCTTCTTTAGAGTGCAAACCTCAGGTGCATGATTCCTGCCGCACCGCCAGCAGCTTCTGTGTTTGATCCATGTGGCAATTTCAGCTGCTGAAAGAGCTTTGAATTTAGGACACAGGCTCAGGTAATGTCCTCTGTCGTCACAATAAGGGCAGTAAGGTTTAGGACCTGATTTAGGCTTAGGTGATCTTATATGGCCAGCTGGATCTGGAGGTGTGGCTTTAGCCTGGCTCTCTGTGTTGTAGTACACATTGGATGAAGGACCTTGAGGTTTCTTCTGATTCCTCAGCTTTGGTTGATCTTGACACATGTACGCTGCTCTAGCGGCGATTCGCTTGGCTTGTGATTTCAACTGGAGCCATGTGGAGAAATCTGACAGGGTATAAGTCTTATCAGTCCCAGTTGTCAGAATGCCACGATTCAAGCTATACTCAACAAAGCTGTCTCTGTAGTTAGCGGGCAATTTGTTAAGTAGCCTATCAACATGAGAGCCACATTTGAGTTCGTAGCCATTTTCACCCTCTAGCGATCGGAGCATGCCTACTAAAGCTTGTCCTGAGAGGGCAAAATTGTCAAATCCATCTGGATCACCAACCCTAACTGGAGGTAAGTTTAGGATGGCTCCTAGCTCACTTTGCACAAGCTGGCGGGATTGCCCGTATTTATCTTGAAGTGCCTGTAGGGCCGATGTGTATGGTTTCGGGTCATACATAAAGGCTTGTGCTAGCTTGTGAGCACTAGGCAGCTTCAAATGCTGCAACAACACTTGATATTTAAATGGTTCGGTGAGGTGAGCATGTGAGCTTAGCAGGTTATCTAGAGCCATCTTGAGCAGTGCAAAGTCTGCCTCTCTTCCAGATGTGAAGTAGGGTAAAGCAGGCTTAGGAAGTCCATATGAAGTAGCTATTAATAGCTCCATTAGGTCTGTACTAGGTGCAGCGATTGAGCCTGGAGGAGGAGCTGTCTCTCGTGGCAAAGGTGGTATGCTGGGAGGAGAGTGATGCTGCAGGGCTGCATCAGGTTGTACTGGCTGTTGTTGTGAATAAGACCAGGGTACATGCTGATGTGGAGCCTGGTTATAGACTGCTGGTAGCGTGTTTAGGGGAGCAGTGGACTGCACTGTTAAGGCTGGTGGTCCAGCACGAGGTAATATAGCACCAACTGATAGTGTCGTACCAGGCTGAGGGATGGTATGTGCTGTGGTGGGCGGAGCTATCGTGGAGTATGTGAATTGTGGCTGGGTCGGCAGGTTTACCATGGCAGGAGGTTGCGGTTGAAGGACAGGTGAAGCTCTAGTTGTTAATTGGCTTGTTGAGACAGGAGGATTAGGCACTGCTGCTGTAAAGGCTGGTGGAGGGCCAATAACTGTAGGAGCAGAGTGTGCAGGTCCATGTGCACCTTGTGAAGGTGGTGGTACTCCCATGACGTCAGCTGGGGACCCTTTGTTGGATTCATCTCCACTTTGCGGTCTTGAGGCAACAGAGCTGCTTGTTTCCTCCTTCAGGAGGGATGTAATGAGAGTCGCTTTCTCGAACTCTATTTCCTTTTCCTTTAGTTTGCGTTGCAGCATTAGCCGTCTGGTAATAGCCTCCTTTGCCTTTAATGCTATTTCTGCCTCTTCATCAAGCTTACGCCTCTGTATTTCTTGTTCTCTTAGGAGTTCCTCTCTTCTTCTGAGGGCTTCCCGAGCTTGCTGGTCCAGATGCTGGTACTGTTCATCCATCAGACTTTCCTCCATTATCTGTCTTTGCACCTCTGCCAACTCCATGCGCTTTATTCTCTCCTCCAACATGGCTGTCTGTATGTCAGATAACCCATCGATGATTGACCTCCTTGTTAACGAACTGGCGCTGCCCTGGGTCTTAGCTTTACTGCGCTGAGAGACAGGTTGGCTTCGATCTGATGATGCTCTCCTACTAGGTAGGCTAGGTATGGCTTCAGTGATGGCAGCTGTCATCATTGCAGGTTGATCTGGAGGATGAGCTTCATGCCCAGCTGGAGCTTGGGCTGCTGGATGATGGAGAAGTTGAGGTTGGTGTCCAACTTCATAGTCCTCCAAATACGTTGGTAGTCGTCTCTCCCGCTGGGATCTAGAACGCACTGCTGGGTCAGATGGTTGTCCTAGCTCCTCCATAATATCTCTAGATGACTGTGGATCCGGCTCGAAGGACCATGTGATAGAGTGGGAACTCTGGAAGTTATTTGCTGATCTGACAGTATCTTCAAGATAAGGGCTCCGGTCAGAGAGCAGGGCACGGAGAGACAGTTTTACGTATTTAATGACAGTTGAAGTATGGACATCTGTACATTTCTGTGGTTCCGTGTGGTCTGGAAAATAAATACAAAGAATGATGTAAAAGGACTGTACAAATTGTGAAATAAATATGCCAACATTTAAGACAAAGCAAAAACAAATATATTCCCAAATGATGCACATTCAAGGGTTACACAGAGTAAATATTGTGACTTCCAGGCTCAGAGGCACTGACAAATTATATGATCTCCAGGGACCTCTGGTGGTCAAAGCAAGGTACTGCTGTTGCAAGTACCACACTACTAAACCATGCTGCCAATTAGCCTGGCATTATACCACACCTCAACTGAACTGACGTCATGGATGGATACACATGGAGTAAATGGAATAAAACTCAAATAAACCAGTATTTAGCACACATAACACAAATTAAGAGAAGTGAAATGAGGACTACAAGCGAGAATAGCAACTGATACCAATTAAACTGTAGGAACTCCCTCTAAATAATCCAAACAATATGTCCAGACAGACATAAAGGAAACTGAATGAACTTATAGGTTATTTATGTATCCATAGAGGTGCTACGGTTGGCCAAACTTACATATCAGTCATGAACGCACACGCGGCTGTCTGCCATCACCAACAGCTTGGACAAAATGGTAGAAATGGCTTTACAGGAAGTGACTATCTAGAGGAAGTGATGTCACAAACTGGACCACCAAAATAAGAGTGGGGTAACTTTACAAATGTATCTTGTAAAACTGCCATAACTATAACCCTTTCTGACAGGCATTGTTTAATGAATGTGTCTCAAATAAATTCACTATTACTTAAATAAAGTTAGTTAATGTATGTTAAAATCTCAAAGAGTGGTTATCAGGCTTTTGGGTTTAATTATCATAGTTTGTGTTCTGTTTTCTGATTGGCTCTGCTCACCATGACGCGTCATCAACACTGAAACGGAAAAGCCCGTGTTGTCAGTGAACGCATCACGGCAAAGTAATGGAAAGAATGATTACGGATAGGTTAAATTATTATTTAGAAAGTAGGAATTTGTTAATGAAATATCAAAATGGGTTTAGAGCTGGCAGAAGTGAAATCAGTTATTAGACAGCAGATTCTGGATGAATGGCAAGAACAATGGATAAGGGACGTGAAAGGAAGACATTTGTACAAATTAAAGGGAAAGGTTGGAAAAATGGAAGTCATTCAAATGAGTAACAGAAATCAAGTAGTGATAACAAGGATGAGAATGGGACATACGGCTTTGAACAGTACGCTATTTATTCTTGGACAGCGTAATACAGTAGAACATGTATCATGTACTTGTAGAAAATATGTGGAGAATAGGAAAATGTTGGTTGAAAAAATAAAAGTTAAAGGATATAAGAAATATGATTTGAATGTTAAATGGGGGAATAGTGGTTTATAAATTAGTCATAGACTTTTTAAGGGAAAGTGGAATACTTGATAGAACTGAGTTTTATTTATTCATTTTTAGTAGGATACTCCCCACTTCAACTCACACTCCCATTCAGTAGGCGGCGGAAATGCACCTGAAAATTGGTTGCCACTCGCCAATTAAACGACAGCAGAAGAAGAACGCATCACGGCGGGCCACGGCTGAATCAAAGCTAGATGAGATGATTACTATAATGACTACTGGCTGCAGAAACAAGCAACTCAATGGAGAGCGTGTCAGGTTTGGAGGGATTTGCGGTTTTGAGATGCTCTGTTGGAAATGTTTATTATTTCAGGTGTTAGACTGACTTCCTGGTTTAAAGTTTCCAGACGTTTTCACTTTGTTCTTAAAGTATAAGTACTAAAATATAAGAAGCTCTAACGATTTATAAAGACCAATGTCAGAGTTAAAACTAAAGTATTATTTACAGTATGTTAGTATCAAGAGTGTCTGCAGAAAGATTTCATTCAGATCTAACCACTTTCTATATTATTTACTTATGTATTTATTTTTATTATGTATTTCAATGAAAGTGTGGAGTTTTAGTCTTAATTAGCTGTGTTTTTACAGTCCTATACACTCCTGTATACATTCCTCCGAGGTTCTGGTCCATAATCAGGATAGGATTGCACAGTTTCATCCAGGATGTGAATATCTCGTTACTCCACATCTTGAATGTTCTGAACTGGATTTAGACGATATTTGTTGGCCTAACCCAAACCCTCATCTTCACTGATTTAACCTGCTCTTCCTTTACAACTGAGCATCTTTTCAACAGATTTTATTTGTGTGTGTAACCTGTGTGTCATGGTCTGCGTCTGCATCTTCCTTCATGTGCCTCCTGGTGTTCTCCATCCCTCTCTAGATTCCCTTTTGTGTCTCTTAGCGCCCTCATGTGTCCTTTGTCTGCGTCTCAGTTAGGTGTCTTATGAGCTTTTTGTCTCGTCCCCAGACTTTGTGCTCTAGGTGAGCTTCTGTTTCAAAGTCTTTGGTCTTCGTGCTCTTTGAGAGCTTTGGGTGTCCTGTGCTCCAGGACTTTGGACTTTAGGCTCGTTGCCTTGGATTTATTTTTGTTCATCCTCTAATAAAAGGATTTTTTCCTTATATCTACTCCTGCCTCGTGTCCTCCTGGGTATCTGCATATTTGGGTCCTAAACATCCCCGAAACGTGACACTGTGTCTGAATAGGTGCCGTCTGTGGGCTCCTCAGAAGTGCAGCTGCTGGTTTTGTGTCTGGAGAAGCCGTGTCCTTTGCGGTGGAGCCCGCTCTGACTGAAGATGCCTCCCTGCTGAAAGCTGCGACTCTGGCTGCCGGACGTGCCGGTTCCACCGGAGTCGCCGTGGCGACGTCGTGCCTCGTGTTCACATCGCTCTTGGAGTGGGTTTTCTTCTCTTTGCCATGATGCTCAAACTGCTGACCAGAGCTGGAGTGAGTCTGGCTTGGTTAATGGAGGTGACTGCTGGGGCCTCAGTGGTGGTGGGAGCTGTCACATTCGGAGTCGTCGAGGGTGTCCTTCCACCATGGATCGTCCTTTTAGCTCACGGCGCTCCAGTTCTCCTTGTGTACTCATACTCCAACATCAATGACATGTCGACCGCTCTGTTAATCATCTTCGCCTCTCTTTACCTCGGTGTGGCTTTTGGATGCTTGGGTCCTCTATCTGGACTGTTTTTGCTGCACTGACCATCTCTTTACTCTGTGCCTTTCGTAGGACTCCTAAAGAGTGGCTAACGCAAACGCCAAACTCTAAGACTGGGTGCAAACTGCTGGAGAGGATCTTTTTCTGCTCGGTTTTTGTTGGAATTCTTGGGTTTTTGGTTGGTTTGGGAGCGTGTGAGGTAGGAGAAGGGTCAGAAGCAGAGGTGGGTTTAACACTGCAGTCAGTCCTCTGCGTGGCATTTGTCTGCAGGGCTGTTGGGAGCTGGACTGGGACCAGTGGCCGTGGTCAGACTGGGACCAAATAAGACAGGACATATTTCAGTGGGAGCTGCTGTTGCAATATTTGTGTCTCGTGTCTAGGTGCCAGAAGCTGCACCGGAGGAACACTAGGGGCGGCTACAGCTGCAGGGGTGTCACTTGGTGCTGCCAGTGTTGCAGAGTGTCACACGTCTAAATCCAGAAATTCAGCTTCGCTGGTTCTTGGTTGTGTTGTTGCAGGTGCTCTCTTGGTCCTTAAAGGTGTTTCTCTGAAAGCAACACCTTTGATGACATCGGAACTCATCGCAGTGGCAACTGTTGCAGTGGGGGCATTTGTTCTGGGTGCACCAAAGAGCCCGCTCCACACCAGAGTGAATCTGCAAGGGGGCCTCCTCACAGGGGATGGAGCTAATTAAAATGATCGGCATGGAGACGGTCACCATGGCAGCAGCACCTATTGGAGCGGGGGTGCTCGGGGCCGCAGCCTTGGGCACGGCAGCACTGGGAACGCTGGGGACCATCGGAGTTCTGGTGGCTGTAACACAGGCTCTGGGGGGTGTCCTCAGTGGAAGGATTGGAAAATCAGCACCAACAGCCAGCACACACACACACACTGACCTACGCTGGACTTCACATCCATCACTTCTGCTGAGCAGGACTTCCGCACATTTGCTTCCAACAAAGACGTTCAAAATAAATCTAGTATTATTTGCTGCTTTTTGTTGTGCACTGAAGGGATTTCTAACATACGATTTGTACCTTGTATTATTTTGACCACCAGTGTTGAAATAAATATTTTTTTAATGAAACCCACTGATGCCTTCTGAGAAAATATTTTTGTAAAATGTTGAAAATGTTTCATATTTAAAGGATGTTTGCTTTTTATTTTATTTTATTTTATTTTATTTTTTGCCTGAAGGACAAAATGCTTATTTTTCCTTTTTGTCAACCCTTCGCACAATTCCCAAGACGTGGCTGCTAGCAGGCTATTACTCTGATTTGATCTCAACAACAGTAACAGAGGATTTGCTCTGGGAGGGCTGGGCGTGGGAGGAAACGAGAGGTAAACACTGACATCAGACCACGGAGGAGCGTCGTACCTTTGGTTCTGCATTACGGATCTTTGTGCAATTAAAAGAAAGGAATAATTTTTACATGACAATGTTTTTCCTCCTGGTTTTATTGACTTTAATTGGATAAAAGCATCATTATTCTGCCATGGCGACCAACAAGACTTCAAACAGAAGGTGGGGTATTTGTTTAAAGAGCTTGGAGGTCACTTCAATGGTAATTTAAAAACAACAGCTCCAGATTCAATCCAAGGTAGGAACTTTTCAGGATGGATTTAAAGAAAATCTGCAATACTTAAATTTTTTGGACACTTCACAAAAATTGGAATGTGATTATCTTCAAGTGTAAGGGGAACTATCTTCTGAGATACCATGACATGAACCAGTATGCCTCTGAACCGGGTCCCTACGACAGACACTGAGCCGTCCACAGAGTGCTCCGTGGAGTATCCCAGCCAGGTTACCGGTGATGTGGGTCGAAGCCGGGAAGTGGCCGTCCTCCAGTCCGGCTGCTGCCGCTGCCTGCCCCGTGCGGTGCGCCTCACCTTCACGCCCGAATCGTTGGAGAGGCTCTACCAGAACTATTTCCGACGCCAGAGAGAGGAGAACCTGCTGGTGTTGGTGGCCTTTGCGGCTCTTTTCAACAGCTTCATCCTCATCATGTGTGCGGTGGTGTACACCGAGCACAAACTGGACATGGTTGTGGTGGCAGCGATGGGATTGGCTGCTGATGCCGTGCTATTCCTGCTGTGCTGGTTCCACAAACTCCCTGCATCACCCGTAGCAAGAGGAGGGGTCCCCTACGTGCTGTGGCTGATGATTACTGTCCACGTTTTGTGTTACATGAGTTTAAACTACAAGAGGTTTCCTGATGGAAGCGACTCAGTGGGCTGGCAGGCTTTCTTTAGCTTCTCCAGTTTCCTGACTTTACCTCTGAACTTGGTGCCTCTCATCCTGCTCACAGCCGTGTCCTGTGGGATCCACACCCTGGTGCTGGGGGTGACGGTGGCTCAAAGGTTTGTGGATAATCTGCAAGGGCCCGTGCTGGTGAGACAGGTAAGAAAGGTAGACCTGTTGCAGAAACACCTGACATGATTAGTTCCTGCATTTACCACACAAACACATCCATCCATGATCCATCCATTCATTGTCTGAACCCGGGGCGTGTCCAGGGAGTGGCCTGGGGTAGCACATGCCACCCTTGGAATCTGATTGGCCACCCCAGGTGCCACCACACCAATTTACATTTAAATAGTCTTTTCATTGTCCACAAAAGGCTTGGGGGTTAAAAACAAAAAAGCATAACCATTGGTGCCACCCATGCACAAAGTTGTGCCTCACCTGGGCCACCCCATTTTAAAAGATCTGGACACGCCTCTGGTCTGAACCCACTTCTCCACGTAGGGTCGCGGGGGGCTGGTGCCTATCTCCAGAGGTCAATGGGCAATCAGGCGGGGTACACCCTGGACAGAGTGGCAGTCCATGGCAGGGCAACACAGAGACACACAGGACAAACAATCATGCACACACACACACACACCTGCACAGGAAGAACATGCAAACTCCATGCAGAAAGATCCCAGGCTGGGAAGCGAACCCAGGACGTTCTTGCTGCAAGGCAACAGCTCTAACCACTGCAACACTCACACAAAACTGTTATATCAATTACATATGAAGCAAATAAAAGTTGTGTCTAGTTGATTTGATTTATTTATTGTTTGAATTAAATTTTTTATTTATTGTCATGCTCTCATGCATGACATTAGGATTTATTTAAACTCCACATGAAGCTGACAGCATCTTCCAGACCATTCTACAAACAAAATTAGAAAATATCCCTAGAAAAATAACAAATTAAGCATTTTCTTCTCGCTTCAGCTCCTTGCCAATGTGATGCTGTACCTGTGTGCAGCCGCAGTGGGGGTGATGTCCTTCTACATGGCTGACAGGAAGTACCGGACAGCGTTTTTGGAGGCTCGTCAGTCGCTGCAGGTGAAGCTGACTCTGGAGGAGCAGAGTACGCAGCAGGTGAGAGGAGGGCAATGATTATCCTACGCTTAAACTCACATTTGTACCTGAAACCTTCTGAGATAAATGCCTGACTTTGTGCCAAAGTGACTGACATTTCAGCTACAAGCACAAAAAGAACCAATGACTTATGTTTGTTTTTTATTTGTTTTTTTGGGGATGACACACACTTAAAGGCTCCTCTGTAAAGACACACACTGCTTCATTATGCTGTGTTTTCCAGAGACTAATGGTTGATTAGAGGATCTGCTGTTTTCACCTGTGGGTCAGCCATCAGGGACATGCAAACCTAATGTCAACAAAAGTAATCAAAGTGGGATTCCTGGTATTTAAAGGATGCTAAAAGTCTCCTGGTGGAATAAGGAAAAAGTGGTTAAGAAAACGAGTGAGTTATGAGAGTTTTTGAATGATTTCTTTATTTTATTTTCCTTTTTTGTTTCAACCAATCACATTAAACTTAAAACTTTAGGGGACATATTATGTAAAACTCACCTTTTGTATGCTTTTGTGCAGCCATGTGGGTCTCTACTATTTTCTGTGAACACTCCAAACATGAAAAAACGCATTTATCTGTGTTCTGTCAGTGTTTGGTTTTAGGAATTATGTGCCTAAAATAAGCATTTTCAAAAAGTCCCCGTTTGTGATGTCACAAATGGGTTAAATTAGATCAATACCACCTCTCACACCCAAGAGAGAGCTGCTGCTGCTGCTGCTGGAAGATCAGCGCATCTACTCTGAGCCCCTCACAGAAAGTGGAGCTTCTCAGCTTATAGCAGCTTGAGCGGGGGATGGGTGGCCGTGGCCAGCTCCAGCTTGTTTTCTTAAAATGACAGAGCTCTGAAATGACTCATTCTGGAAGGTACTGAAGCAATCAAGATTAAAAATGATAGATCTTCGTCTCCCCTCTCCCTGCCACACCTGGTGTGGAGTGCAGTGCCTTGGTCTGCCTGGGTCGTGGCTCCCGGGTCAAGGAGTTTAAGATTTTTGGCATCTGCCTGACCAATCCCAGTGGCTGCCTGGTGGGGTCTGGGTCCCCGGCGGGAGTGGTCACCCCTGGGTCCAAAGTCATTGGGTCCCGGGCTCGGCCAGCTAGCGGGTGGGAGGCTGCAGGCGGGCCTGTGGGCTTGCTGCCGATATCTCCCAGGACTCTGCCGGCTGCTGGTTGTGGCCCCCCGGGGCGATCTTCTGCGCCTCTCGAGGGGGGCGAAGGGCTTTTCTGGTCGCAGACTCCCTGGAGTTCCTGTGCTCTGGGGCAGCTCCTGGATCTCTGGGGCTTGGAGCTCCCTCCGTCTCCTGCACATCTTTAGGGGGCAGATCTGTGGCCCCTCACACTCTCTATTGGACGCTCCTATAGAGAAACCTTACATATACAAGAATGTGTACACACACAGGTACTCACATGGTGCTCTCATAAATATGGACTTGAGCATTTTCAACACATGTCAAGGCTATGGTGGGCACTTAATGCACTGTGATGTATTATCGTGTGACTCTTTGCAACTTTTTACTGTTTTATGTTAAATTTGGAAGTTATTTGCAAATCTAATAATAATTTTGGCTGAGACTCATTGTTTATGTTTGTGAATTCACTTCTAACTAAAATTATCTGGACAGAAAGGATCGAGCTTCTTTTGACCAGTTAAAATGCGTGTATGTGTAACGTTAGTGGGGGCTTGTCCGGGATCACTTACATCCGTTACTGAATATTTCAAACAAAAAGGCGTAATTATTAGTGAAAAGAAATACAGAATTATCTGTAACAGCATCCTGTTTCATCAGATTAAACACGTTAATAGAGAATAAAATAAAATAAATAAACTGCTGAGATTGCTTTATTAGAGAGGGACTTAATGCAAACAACTTCATAAGCATTTTTGGGTCAGCCATAGAACTATTATAACTTAAGAAGATAAGTCATTAATGCCTTTCAATAAATTATGTAAAAAAGGATAAAAAGTTATAGAATATCTGAACATAAAGAAAGCAAAGCAAAAATGACCCCAAAGCACCTTTTTACACCATGCATATAATCAGTCAAACATGAATCTCACTAATTGTTCCAATTTGTTAAACCCACACATGCATGCTCACCATTTTCAGTTTTAACATCTTTCCTTTTATCTTTCCTGTAGGAGGAATTACTGCTGTCCATTCTCCCAAAGCATATTGCTGATGAGATGCTGCAGGGCATGAAGAACCAGGCCAATCAGAATGAGGTCCAGCAGCAGCAGCAGTTCAACACCATGTACATGTACCGCCATGAAAATGTCAGGTCAGCATCACACAGAGTTTTAAGGACTTTCATCCCAGCAGATGGACTCAATGGCTGGTGCTGACTGTGTTTTCCTTGCAGTATACTGTTTGCAGACATCGTGGGCTTCACCCAGTTATCCTCAGCGTGCAGTGCCCAGGAGCTTGTAAAGCTGCTCAACGAACTGTTCGCTCGCTTTGACAAATTGGCGTCTGTGAGTGTCGGAAGTCTCAGGAAGCTCAAAACACAAGCTTACAAAACTATTTCCTGCCTTTTAAGGACCCAAAAGTCAAAATATCAGCAGGAAAACAGTAGGATCTGATAAAGATGTTGAGAAACTGAGAACTAGATGTACAGGGAGGTCGTGATTACTCTGAGCAAGAATATGGATTATAAAAGAGCTGGAATGAGGTGAACTGAGAAAAATAGAGCACAAAGAGAAACAGAATAGAACAAGAAGCCATGGAAGCCTGGATTTCCTTGAAGAGAGGATGAAGGATGATAGAGGCATGGCTGTTTTTTAAAAATCTTAAACATAATAAATACAATAAATGTGTGATCTGTAAGCTTTCAGAGTATATGCTATGGCACTCAGCTAGCACCACATCAAAGTTTAGGTCAATATCTGTGAAAGTGACTTGGGTCATTAGCGCCATTTCTATGTTTGTTTTGGTTGATGAGCTGTGGAAGCCATCTTTAATTGGACTGACTCCAAAAGTGAATTAGTTGCAGATGTATGGTTCTGAGAGTTGATCATGGGTCATTGTGATTATAAACATACAGGCAAAAACATTATTGTCCACTTTTTGCTTTTTGATGGTGATCAAAAATAAACAGTCTAACCAATGCAAAATGATTTGAACTGCTAAATCGCACACCTTCAAACTCACAAAACCTGTAATGATGACATCCTCGGCTTATAAAAAGACTTATAATTCATTTAGCAGTACTCTATCTTCTGAACAACTCAACCTTGTTTAACAGCAACATCACCAGCTGAGGATTAAGATCCTTGGAGACTGTTACTACTGCATCTGTGGCTTGCCTGACTTTAGAGAAGACCATGCTGCTTGTTCCATAAGAATGGGCCTCTCCATGGTAGAAGCAATATCGTAAGTGGGACTTCATGGTCGAAATTCATTGAGATACACTTGAAAGCGTAAAAGTTAAATGATGGCAACTTCTATTTATTTACTCAAATTTAATAAAAGAAAAGCAGAAGAAAATGTGGATTTATTTCATGCAGGTATGTGCGGGAAAAGACAAAAACGGATGTGGACATGAGAGTGGGCGTCCACACCGGCACTGTCCTTGGAGGAGTGCTCGGACAGAAGCGCTGGCAGTTTGACGTCTGGTCCACTGATGTCACCGTGGCTAACAAGATGGAATCTGGAGGAATTCCTGGGTATGATCAACAATCTATAATACAATAAATAATTCCTTGAGTTTAGTTTAAATTCTGACAAGTGTGTGTGCAGGAGAGTGCACGTCTCTCAGAGCACCAAGGACAGCCTGCATGGGGAATTTGAGCTGGAGCCGGGAAACGGTGGAGAGAGGTGTGAGTACCTGCTGGAGAAAGGCATTGAGACTTATCTGGTTCTTGCCCCTAAAGAGGGAGATGATGGGCTCAGTGGAAATGTGAGTTTTTCCTACCTCAGTGTAGTTAACCTGATTTCTTGGTTTAGTGTGGAAAGAAGAACAATTTCCCTTTTATATTGGAGAAACCTTCTTTTTTATTTCCCTAGACACCAGACTCCATGACTGAAAAAAACTCAAATCAACTGATCAACACCACATCACCCAAAACGAACGCAGCCTCCAACCAGCCTATGCTGTCTCACCCGAAACAAGAGGTAAAGGTTTCACAATAACTCTAATGAAACGGTGTGTTATAAGAAATTTTTGATTATTGGTTTAGAAAATCCAAACATTCAGAAGAAAACAAATAACTCTTTGGCATTTTTGGCTTGACAGGAAGTAGAGTTTTCATTAGGTATTAGTCGTTTAGTGTTAGGTTGTCATTTTGTGGCAGTTTTCTTTATGTGACCCCATTAGCTCCTTTCAGAGTCACAGGCAAGGTTTCACTTGTTTAGTGACATTTTTGTAATATTAGTTATTTAAAAAAAATTTGTCCAATATTTTATTTAATTTAGTTTTAATGAGTTTTTACAACTTGCTTGTTAGCTTTAGTTTTGTTTCTATTTTTTAAAAATGCTTAGTTTCTGTTTGGTTTTTATTAGTTTTACATTATAGTTTTATCATTTTAGTAATATTAGTTATTTATAGAAAATTTTAGTCAAAATTTTCATTTTATTTAGTTTTAATGAGTTTTACAACTTGTTTGTTAATTTTTATTTACTTTAGATTTTTTTTTTCAAAATGCTTAGTTTCCATTTAGTTTTCATTAGTTTCCATTATAGTTTGTCTTTTTTTGTAATATTAGTTATTTATAGAAATTATTTGTCAATTTTTTTATTTTATTTGTTTTTAATGAGTTTTTACAACTTGCTTGTTAGTTTCAGTTTAGTTTCAATTTTTTTGAAAATGCTTAGTTTTTGTTTAGTTTTTATTAGTTTCCATTATATTTTAGTCATTTTATTAATATTAGTTATTTATAGAAATGTTTTGTCCAATTTTTTATTTTATTTAGTTTTAATGAGTTTTTACAACTTGTTTGTTAAGTTTTATTTAGTTTTAATTTTTTGAAAAAGCTTAGTTTGCATTTATTTGTATTAGTTTCCATTATAGTTTGACTTTTTTGTAATATTAGTTATTTATAGAATTTTTTTGTCAATTTTTTTATTTTATTTATGTTTAATGAGTTTTATAACTTGTTTGTTAATTTTTATTTATTTTTGATGTTTTAGAAAATGCTTAGTTTCTGTTTAGTTTTTATTAGTTTCCATTATAGCTTTAGTCTTTTTTTTGTAATGTTAGTTTTTATCGAAATCTTTTGTCAAATGCTTTATTTTATTTAGTTAAATGAGTTGTTACAACTTGCTTGTTAGTTTTAGTTTTGTTTCAATTTTTTTGAAAATGCTTAGTTTTCATTTAGTTTTTATTATTTTCCATTATAGTTTTAGTCATTTTAGTAATATTAGTTATTTATTGAAAAATTTTGTCCAATTTTTTATTTTATTTAGTTTTAATGAGTTTTGACAACTTGTTTGCTAATTTTTATTTAGTGTTTGTTGTTTGAAAATGCTTAATTTTCGTTTAGTTTTTATTAGTTTCCATTATAGTTTTAGTCTTTTTTGTAATATTAGTTATTTATAGAAATTTTTCGTCAAATGTTTTATTTTATTTAGTTTTAATGAGTTTTTACAACTTGCTTGTTAGCTTTAGTTTTGTTTCTACTTTTTTAAAAATGCTTAGTTTCTGTTTAGTTTTTATTAGTTTCCATAATAGTTTTAGTCATTTTGTAATATTAGTTATTTTTAGAATATTTTGTCCAATTTTTTATTTTATTTAGTTTAATGAGTTTTAAAATGTGTTTGTTAATATTTATTTAGTTTAGATTTTTTTTAATAATTAGTTTCCATTTAGTTTTTAATAGTTTCCATTACAGTTTTAGTCTTTTTTTGTAATATTAGTTTTTAATAGAAATGTTTTGTCACATTTTTTAATGTATTTAGTTTTAATGAGTTTTTACAACTTGCTTGTTAGTTTTAGTTTTGTTTCTATTTTTTGAAAATGCTTAGTTTTCATTTAGTTTTTATTAGTTTCCATTATAGTTTTAGTCATTTTAGTAATATTACTTATTTATAGAAATTTTTTGTCCAATTTTTTATTTTATTTAGTTTTAATGAGTTTTTACAACTTGTGAGTTAATTTTTATTTAGTTTTTCGTCTCGTCTCATCTTCCTCCGCTTATCCGGGTCCGGGTCGCGGGGGCAGCATCCCAACTAGGGAGCTCCAGGCCGTCCTCTCCCCGGCCTTGTCCACCAGCTCCTTCGGCAGGACCCCAAGGCGTTCCCGGACCAGATTGGAGATGTTACCTCTCCAACGTGTCCTGGGTCGACCCGGGGGCCTTCTGCCGGCAGGACATGCCCGAAACACCTCCCCGGGGAGGCGTCCAGGAGGCATCCTGACCAGATGCCCAAACCACCTCAACTGGCTCCTTTCGATCCGGAGGAGCAGCGGTTCTACTCCGAGTCCCTCCCGAATGTCCGAGCTCCTCACCCTATCTCTAAGGCTGAGCCCGGCCACCCTACGGAGGAAACTCATTTCGGCCGCTTGTATCCGCGATCTCGTTCTTTCGGTCATTACCCAAAGCTCATGACCATAGGTGAGGATTGGGACGTAGATCGACCGGTAAATCGAGAGCCTGGCTTTCTGGCTCAGCTCCCTCTTCCCCACGACAGATCGGCTCAGCGTCCGCATCACTGCAGACGCCGAACCAATCCGCCTGTCGATCTCCCGATCCCTCCTACCCTCACTCGTGAACAAGACCCCGAGATACTTAAACTCCTCCACTTGAGGTAGGACCTCTCCCCCGACCCGGAGGTGGCAAGCCACCCTTTTCCGGTCGAGAACCATGGTCTCAGATTTGGAGGTGCTGATCCTCATCCCAGCCGCTTCACATTCGGCCGCGAACCTACCCAGCAATAGCTGAAGGTCAGAGCTGGATGAAGCTAGGAGGACCACATCATCCGCAAAAAGCAGAGACGAGATTCTCCTGCCACCAGACTCGACACACTCCACACCACGGCTGCGTCTAGAAATTCTGTCCATAAAAGTGATGAACAGAACCGGTGACAAAGGGCAGCCCTGGCGGAGTCCAACCCTCACTGGGAACAGGTCCGACTTACTACCGGCTATGCGGACCAAACTCACGCTCCTCTGGTAAAGGGACTGAATGTCCCTTAACAGAAAGCCACCCACCCCATACTCCTGGAGCGTCCCCCACAGGGTGCCCCTGGGGACACGGTCATAAGCCTTCTCCAAATCCACAAAGCACATGTGGATTGGTTGGGCAAACTCCCATGCCCCCTCCATCACCCTTGCAAGGGTATAGAGCTGGTCCACAGTTCCACGGCCAGGACGAAAACCACATTGCTCCTCCTCTATCTGAGATTCAACTATCGATCGGACCCTCCTCTCCAGTACCTTGGAGTAGACCTTTCCAGGGAGGCTGAGGAGTGTGATCCCCCTATAGTTGGAACACACCCTCAGGTCACCCTTCTTAAAGATGGGGACCACCACCCCGGTCTGCCACTCCCTAGGAACTGCCCCCGATGACCACGCAATGTTGTAGAGACGTGTCAACCATGACAGCCCTACAACATCCATAGCCTTGAGATACCCAGGACGAACCTCATCCGCCCCCGGGGCTCCGCCGCTGTGTAGTTGTTTGACTACCTCAGCAACTTCTGCCCCCGAGATCGGACAGTCCATCCCCAGGCCTCCCAGCTCTGGTTCCTCCTCGGAATGCGCATTGGTGGGATTGAGGAGCTCCTCAAAGTATTCTGTCCACCGTCCGACTATAGCCTCAGTTGACGTCAGCAGCTCCCCATCCCCACTGTAAACAGTGTGAGCGAGTTGCTGCCTTCCTCTCCTGAGGCGCCGGACAGTTTGCCAGAACCTCTTTGGAGCCGATCGATAGTCTTTCTCCATGGCCTCACCAAACTCCTCCCACGCCCGAGATTTTGCCTCGGCAACTGCCACTGCTGCACCCCGCTTGGCTATCCGGTACCTGTCTGCTGCCTCCGGAGACCCACTGACCAGCCACGCCCTGTAGGCCTCCTTCTTCAGCTTGACGGCTCCCTGAACCTCTGGTGTCCACCAGCGGGTACGGGGGTTGCCACCACGACTGGCACCGGCCACCTTACGACCACAGCTAGCAACAGCCGCCTCGACAATCGCAGAGTGGAACAAGGCCCACTCGGACTCAATGTCCCCCACTGCTCTCGGGACGTGGTCAAAGCTCTGCCGGAGGTGGGAGTTGAAGACCATCTTGACAGGTTCTTCTGCCAGGCGTTCCCAGCAGACCCTCACTATGCGTTTGGGTCTGCCAGGTCTACGCGGCATGTTCCCTTGCCATCTGATCCAACTCACCACCAGGTGGTGATCAGTTGACAGCTCCGCCCCTCTCTTCACTCGGGTGTCCAAAACATACGGCCGCAGGTCAGATGATACGACTACAAAATCTATCATCGACCTGTGACCTAGGCTAACCTGGTACCAAGTGTACCGGTGGGCATCCTTATGTTCGAACAGGGTGTTCGTTATGGCCAAACTGCGGCTTGCACAGAAGTCCAATAACAAAACACCGCTCGAGTTCAGATTAGGTGGGCCGTTCCTCCCAATCACACCCCTCCAGGTCAAGCTGTCATTGCCCACGTGAGCATTGAAGTCCCCCAGCAGGACAATGGAGTCCCCTGATGGAGCACTATCTAGCACTCGTCCCAGGGACTCCAAAAAGGGTGGGTACTCTGAACTGATATTTGGCCCATAAGCACAAACAACAGTCAGGACCCGTTCCCTGACCCGAAGGCGCAAGGAAGCTACCCTCTTGTCCCCCGGGGTAAACCCCATCACACAGGCAGAGAGTCTCGGGGCTAACAAAAAGCCAACCCCAGCCCTCCGCCTCTCACCCGGAGCAACTCCAGCAAAGTAGAGTGTCCAACCCCTCTCCAGGTCTCGGGTTCCAGAGCCAATGCAATGTGTCGAGGTGAGTCCGACTATATCTAGCCGGTACCGCTCAACCTCTGCCACAAGCTCCGGCTCCTTCCCCGCCAGCGAGGTGACGTTCCATGTCCCAAAAACTAGTTTTCTTGTCCGGGGATTGGACCGCCAAGGCTCCCGCCTTGGTCTGCCACCCGATTCACATTGCACCGGAACCTTCATGTTC